CATTCAGTAACTTTCACAACAATCGGAATTTGACCTCCTGTGCCTGTGAATTAAAGAAAGGAGGAGGTCAATCAAAAATAAATGTTAATTAATCCAAAGGTCCAACTGATCACCACGCCTATATTGTAAATATGCAGTTACGAATAATCCAGCCAAAGTAATAGGAATTAGACCTAACACGATTCCAAATAGAAAAACTTCAATCATTTTTTTTTTGTTTGAAAGTAGAAAAAAAAATAGGTAATATCGGTACCTAAATATTAATCCGAATTGACATGAATCTCAATGACAATGAACAAGAATTGACAATTGGTAACGTAAGTAAATATAGAATACACGTAATCCCACAGAAGGATTTCTTTTTATGAATTGTTCATTTTAAATATTCAATTTAAATAAGTCGTATCTTGCTCAGACCAATAAATAGAGCTGAGGTTATAGTTAAAGCCGCTAATAGAAAACCGAAATAACTAGTTATAGTAAGCATGAAGGGGCTAAATTAAATGAAATATTTTCTTTTTATACATATGTTTAAAAAGCACTTACCTAAGTTTCAAATTTTGCAAAAGAAAATAGGAGGGTAGACAAAAATCTCAATTTCAATTGAAAGAATAAGTTGAATGAAAAGTTTTTGATTCAGCTATTATTATAGGCAGACAGCACTAACAAAGATAAAGTGCCAGACATATAAAAGAAATTGATTCATCATCTGTAACATCTATCCATCCCGCAATTCCAATCAACCGATTCATTGAGTAACTCTTGGGTAAACTATTAAACTAATAAGAGCTGTATCGTCTAACTTCATTCAAAAATGAAACTTGCATTTTTATAGAATCAAAATAGAAATGATTTTCTAATTTGATCATTTCTTAGATTCTGGTGAATTGTATCGAATCCATTTTCGATTTTAAAGCGAACAGTTACCTTATAAAACTTTTGCTTTTGACTTTAATTTAAGTTTAACTCATTAGATTCAGTAATATATTAATTTACATAATATCTTGAATGAGGGAGAAGAAAAAGTTATCACACAACCGCTTTAAAAACTCTTTTTTTTGTCCAACTAGATTCTAAAACTAGTAATTTCTATTTCTTTAAAAAAAAGATTCCAACAACAAAACGGCTTCCACAACTCCGAAAAGAGAATTTCTATATCTCGCATCTACTTAAATTGTGGGAATATGAGAATCTTTTTCATTGAATTGAAAGAATTTTCTATTGAATGGAAGATGATTTTACATCAACAAGTAAAGGAAAAAAGAAATTATTTAGTACTTACTTTGATACTAATTCAAATTGCGTTGCTGTGTCAGAAGAAGGATACTATACTGATTCGGTATACTCTAAAGACGCCCTCGGTACAATATTGACGATCTCACAAAGATGAAATTTCAGTTAATTGTCATTTACTGATCTCATCTTTTACGGAATCGATCTTCTTTGACTGTACAAGAATATGTGGAGCTCAGCATGTCTGGAAGCACAGGGAGAACGTTCGTTTGCTGGATATTATTACCAGTATTCGATACTGGGTCATTCATAGCATTACTATACCTTCCCTATTCATTGCGGGTTGGTTATTTGTCAGCACAGGTTTAGCTTACGATGTGTTGGGAAGCCCGCGCCAAACGAGTATTTTACAGAGAGCCGACAAGGAATTCCATTAATAATGGCCGTTTTGATCCTTTGGAACAACTCGATGAAATTTAGTAGATCGTTTTAGGAGGCCCTAATGACTATAGATCGAACCTATCCAATTTTTACAGTACGATGGTTGGCTGTTCACGGCCTAGCTGTACCTACCGTCTTTTTTTGGGATCAATATCAGCAATGCAGTTCATCCAACGATAAACTTAATCCGAATTATAGAGCTACGACACAATCAAACCCGAACGAACAAAATGTTGAATTGAATCGTACCAGTCTCTACTGGGGGTTATTACTCATTTTTGTACTTGCTGTTTTATTTTCCAATTATTTCTTCAATTAAGAAAACGAAAGAGAATAAATAAGATTCTCTTAGCTCATTCGAAGGATCTCATAATTTAATTATCCATGACTGTTTATGTCTCTAGCATGACCACTTGATGAAATCTGGAGGGAAGTGGGGGTAAATGGCCGATACTACTGGAAGGATTCCTCTTTGGATAATAGGTACTGTAGCTGGTATTCTTGTAATCGGTTTAATAGGTATTTCTTTTATGGTTCATATTCCGGATTGGGTTCATCCCTGTAGTAAATCGACTGAATTGAGTTGTCAACATGAAAGCGTAAGAACTTAACGGGATTCCCTTCTTTGTTTTGTTTGATTCGAAGGGGAAGGGCCGTTGAGTTCTTAAGAATCATAATATTTTTTTCGTCTAAATGATAAAATGGATTTCTTTTTCTTTTCAAAAACTCCATTTTTCTCATTTTTCTGAGCATGTTTTTGAAAAATTCACTTCATTGAGTTAGTCAGACCACCTCTTCTTTTTATATGATAGTATCTATCGGTACTTTCCAGTACTTTCAAAGTTGGAAGAAAGAAGGAATCACTCAATTTCTTGGCTGCTATCATATATTAGATAGCGTGCAAATCCTTTCTATACTAATCTAATGTAGAACCTTACTCTCTATATTACACTCTCTATATTACATTACTCTATTTATTTTTTATTGTTTTCCTATTTCATCATCAAATTTTTTTATAAGATAAGTTGATTGAAGAAGTTTTATTTAATTAATAAAATTTCCTCTCTTTTTTGTTTTGTTTGTCCACCAATTCATATATTATATGTAAGGGGGTAGGTGTAGGGTTTCTGATACATCTGGAAAAATTGAAACCAAGACTAGGAATTTTTAACAAACAGGATCAAGAATCATTACTCTTTCGTTTCGACACAAGAAAAAGGATTTTTCTACACCCCTTTCTTGTGTCGAAGACTAGGAAGACAAATAATCCCTGCTAGAATTTTTTCTTCCCCGCATTTATCCCCCGCTTCCTTATGTCTAGTATTTAGACAAATTTGACTTTCTTTCTATTTAGAATAGAAAACTATTGATACGTTTTATGGCAGTGAAATCTGGCAATAGTAACATAGTTACACTACTCCAATTAAAAAAAACTAAATCAAAATAAATGAAAGCCAAATACTCTTCTTCAAAATCTACATACTATGTGGTACAAGGGATTCCCAGCATCTCGTAGAAAAAGAGTATGTAATGTAGATTTTGAAGAAGAGTATAAATAAGACAAAGGAGTTTCATAATTCATTTTTTTGATCATAAATAATCGCCAACAAGAATTTGGTTCTTTTTACGTACTTGATATCGATAAATCTGCGAATCTAGAAATTCATTTCGGCCAATTGAACCTTCTCGAACTGTTTCTTTTTAAGAACCAAAAAGATTTGTGCCAAAATAACAGATGCCAAGAAGAACAAAAGTCCTTGGACACGTAATGGATCTTGAAGTACTATTTCTGCATCTCCCTGACCAAATCCGCCTACATTAGGATTACTCGTTAATGGTTGATCAAATTTGATAGATTCGCCCTCGGAAACAAGAAGTTCTGGTCCGGGAGGGATAATATCAACCACTTGACGTCCCTCTGACGCATCCGTTATGGTTATCTCATACCCCCCTTTTTCTTTTCGTATGATTTTGCTTACTATACCTGCTGCTGTAGCATTATAAACTGTATTGTTACTCTTGTTGCCGTCGGGATAAATCTGACCCCTTCCCCTGTTCCCGCCTACGTATATAGGATATTTTAAGAAGTGAACATCCTTCTTAGTAGCAGGGTCCGGGGAAAGAATAGGGAAGGTTATTTCACTATATTTTTTACCAGGGACAGGGCCTACCACAAGAATATTTGTTTTATTGGGGCGATAGCTCTGAAAAGACAAATTGCCAATCTTTTCTTTCATCTCAGGAGAAATACGATCGGGAGGGGCTAATTCAAACCCCTCCGGTAAAATAAGAACAGCCCCGACGTTCAACCCCCCTTTTTTACCATTAGCAAGAACCTGTTTCAGTTGCATATCATAAGGAATTCGAACAACTGCTTCAAATACAGTATCAGGAAGTACCGCTTGTGGAACCTCAATTTCCACGGGCTTATTAGCTAAATGGCAATTGGCACATACAATACGCCCAGTCGCTTCTCGTGGATTTTCATAACCCTGCTGTGCAAAAATGGGATATGCACTTGAAATGGACGTCCGAGTTAAGATATATATCATGAGCGATACGGAAATAGATCGAGTAATCTGTTTCTTTAGCCAAGAAAAAGCATTTCTAGTTTGCATGGTCCAATCATTGATCGCGAAAATTTCTACAATAAATTGGGTAGGTCGCTAGTATAGTTCCCTAGCCACGATTCTGCTATTTGCTGGAATAATCTAGGATGAATCTTCCCGATGGTTAGAAATAGGAAGAGTAAATATGATTTTCAATACTTTGCTTATGTACAACTACAAAGTACCAAGCATTCTAATTGGATTAGATTAATATCAATGGATCCTTTATCATTCAGTTATTGAATCATAAATCAGTAAAATTGACGGAGACAGACTAGTTAAATAACGGAAAAGCCAATATTTAAAACATGTATCAAAAATTACTGGAAGGATGCAAACAAGAATAGTTATAGTTTGCTCATTCGCAACAACTCCAACCTCGTTATAGATAGAGCGTATAGCGAATTCCCAACCTGGGGGTGAATGATATCCGAGAAAAAACTCAGTTACTAGAAGAAGACACAAAGCTTTTGCCTGTGTCACTAAGTTATATAGGAATTCCTAGCCCAAGAGGTTAAGAATAACAAGTTTTCCTTACCCCAAAATTGAATACCCGCTTAGAATACCAAACCAATGATATTTGTGAGAAGTGCAAAATCGTATCCCATACGATTCTCATTTTGTATCGTGATTAATTGGATCGTTTCTTTATGGATTCCATCCCAAACTCTTCGAGATGTGTTTCCGAGTATTCCTTGATCATTTCGTCCAAAGAAGAGGATTCCTCTAATTCTCTGAATTTTTCTAGAAGACTCTTTTCTTGAATATTATTCAAGACAATTTGGGATTGCCCAGTATTCCACCAATTAGTAACCCAAAGATTCCAAGACATTTATTAACTGAGAAAGAAATCCACCAGGGCAAAAATACTATAGATGCAAGATAGAAAAGAGGAGTGAATGCTTTCTTTTTTGCCATTTTTTCGTCTGTAAATTGTTAATCAACCCATTCGTACACTCTATGCGATCGAATATTTCTTACACACATGAGTTTTATACAAGGTATCGAACTTATGAATCTATTTTCTTTGTGATTTTGTGG